TAAATATTGAGAAGGTATAAGTTTTACTTAGCTTTAAGACCACGGGAACATCAAGGTGACTCAAATGTCCTCAGGAATGAATCAGGACGTGCTGTCATCACATGAACCCGTCTACTTTCGATCAAGAATGCTTCACAGGCTCATTTATATTTATATATATATTTCCAAAGAAATCCCAACCAGGATTAAGTAATTGTGATTATCGTATACTGTTTTTAATTAGCCACTTCAAAGGACCTAGAACCAATCACACATTTTTCTATAATTCAATAAAAAAAACTAACTGGACCTACAGCCTAACGAATCAAATGTATTGAACTTACCCGTTAATCCGGGGAGAAATATCAAGTAAATAATGCACTGACTATAGCTTGCCTATGTCACTATGCAAATAACTGGATGCGTCAAGTTTCTATCAGCAAAAGAGACCTAATTCGGCTGCGCACAGCTATTTATAGGGCAGAGGATCACGTGTGCCTGCCAGAAGATTTCGCTTCGATGTCCTAATATGGTGCGAGAAATCATACGGACTGGTTATGCAGGCTCCGCCTATTTAATCTCTTTCCAGAACATTAATGTGACGTCACATCCAATATTGCATTTCATTTAACAAAAAAATCACATACTAGCTCCATCTAACTTACATTCCAAATGCATCTACTAGGTTCACACATATTGTACTTGTCTGTTGCTTATCAAAGCAGACTACGATATTCAATAATTTATATGCATGATGATAGATGGCGCTAAAAAAAATAATAATATTTCTACAACTTCATATTCTAAAATTATATTGCTATGTTTTAACATTATTAAATTTAATTGCTACAAGTTGGGGATTAAAGTGCCGAAAGAAATTAACCTACGCAATACCTGGTTAGAACTTGCTAAAAGTGATCCTGCAACTTTATCGACTCTTAGTAAAATTTATTTTTGCGAAGATCACTTTGATGTAAGTACTCATTGAATAATATTTTAAGTCTCTTCATTTATTATCAGTTTTAACAATACAAGTTTTAAAGTTATGTGTGAATGAAATTTAGTTGTTTACTAAAAGAGACGTCACAATCATGGCGGATGTGGCGAACAGCGTTTTTAGTGTTTAAGAAGTATAGACTAAAAAATATTTTTTTAAATTAAATTTCTACAGCAATCTTCTGTTTTTATGAAGTGAAATCGATATATTTAGGTTCCTTAGACCAAATACTTTAAGAAATAAACATTTATTCAATACAATTCGACATGAGTCAACTAGCCTATTGGGTACAATCTGGTCGTCCGTCTACACATACACAACAAGATCGCCAATTTCAGTTTTATTTGTTACCTCTGCTGAACGGACTTGTTTGTATTAGGATGCCTCTTACCAAGAAGCAAAAAATTGGATTAATCTTGGCTCTAACTACAAATGTAGATGAAAAAAAAGAAAAAGAAGACTGTGGACAAAGCAATGGTTATTAAAAAGAAAGCAATTGAGGCACTTAAATGTAGTTATATTATATTTAAGTGACTCAATTAATAAACTTTTATTTATTTATTTATTTATTCAATAAACATGCTGATTTACAGAACTAGTTCCAACGCATCAGCAGGTCACATTAATTCAATTTATAAATAAAATACAAATTATACATTACAATAAATACAATAACATTAATTGAAAATAACACATCAGCAGGTCACATTAATTAAAATTATAAATAAAATATAAATTATACATTACAATAAAATAAAAAATTAAATTAATAAAAACAATAAAATTAATTGAAACTAACGCATCAGCAGGTCACATTCATTAATATTATAAATCAAAAACAAATTATACATAAGAATAAAATCAAAAATAAATACAATAAAATTAATTGAATTTAGTCCAATGTCAATATTTACTAACTAGGCATTTACAACCTTCTTTAATAATATGTTCGAAATGGTCGGCATATACATCTATTTGGTCGCACTGAGCGAGCACGCTGTCTATCAAGCGAAGTACGCGCGGGGTGGGTGCATGCGCAGCGTGTAAGGTCCGTGTGTCGGGCACGTGGAAGAGGCGCGGTCGGCGGCGCGGGGCGACCATCGCCTGACCATCCCAAGGGATACGTGAAGGTATTAATAGGTTCACCCTGGACACTAAGCTACTATCTACCCTATGATGCAATACGGAGACGAAGTACACAAACATAAGCATTTTACGCCTAATAGCTAGTGTCACAAGATCCACCATACCAGTGACAAAAATTGAGGGATATAGATATGGGTAATACCCATAACGGCGTTTGTAAAGCCAACGTGCAAACTTACGCTGTACGCGCTCCACCATAAGTGCATATTTAGTCTCACGAGGATCCCATATGATAGCAGCGTATTCCAGTTTACTACGGACATATGCGCCATATAAGACCTCAGCCACGGCCGTATTATTAAATTCGGAGGCAGTCCGGATTATAAAACCCAACATCTTACTTGCTTGTTTGCAGGTTTCTATTACGTGTTTGTGAAAGTCTAATTTATCGTCTAAAATTAATCCCAAGTCCTTAATTTCACTAACTCTGTTGCCAGAGGTGTCGCCTATCTTATAATCTATTTTTAATGGGGAACGTTTGCGAGAGTACGTAATGATTTTACATTTGTCGCTATTAAAGGGCAGGTGATTTACTAAACTCCACTTTGACACCGCATCTATATCAGTTTGTAAAGCTTGTGCATCCATGACATCCTTTATGCCCAGAAACAACTTCAAGTCATCCGCAAAAAGAAGACATCGAGCAGTCCCAATAGACAACGGCAAATCATTTATCATTATTTGAAATAATGTTGGACCTAATGTGCTTCCTTGACTGACTCCGGACCTTGTAAAGTATTCCGCAGAATCAAAACCACGCACTCTAACAAACTGGCGTCTGTTGTTTAGGTAATCGGCGAAGAACCTTAGCAGCCCTGGCGTGAAACCTATCAATGCTAATTTTCTTAATAATATGTCATTGTCTACTAAGTCGAAAGCTTTTTTAAAATCGAAGTAAGCAGCATCTACCTGCCGTCCCGCATCCATTTCTGCAGAGATGTGATCTACCAACTCAACAAGATTAGTCGTGGTTGAACGAGCCCTGCGAAAACCATGCTGACTACAACTCAATTGACTTTCAACTTGTCTGGTAATATGACTATTCAGAATAGTTTCAAATATTTTTGAAAATACTGTAAGGACGGCAATCGGTCTGTATTGTGAAACATCACCGTTGGACTCTTTACCTTTTGGCACTGGCGTTACACGTGATAGCTTCCAACAAGTAGGGTATTTTGAAACATCCAGACACTTATTGAAGATGTATAGTAGCGGAGTGCAGAAAACCGATTCACAATCCTTCACCAAAAACACTGGCACACCATCAGGCCCACCAGCTGACTGCGCCTTAAGTTTCTTTATTGCAGTCTTTATATCGGTTTTGATTATGCAGTTGATAGCAATGCTTCTTGCATCCATCTGAGAATGCGCAGCACATGCAGCTTCTATCGGATTGAGCCGTGGTGAATCACTTCGGAAAACAGAAATAAAGTATTGAGAAAAAGCCTCGGCAGCAGCCTGTCCCGTTACCTCTACTCCTTGGTAAGTGAAATCGTTCATGGATCGCCTATTTTTTTTCTTGTCCTTAACGTATCCCCAGAATTGGGCTGGTTGCTCATATATGTTTTTTTGTACTCGAGTTATATGCTGCTGATACGCGTTATCAATTAACTTTTTAGTATGCCATCTATAAAATTTATAAAGTTCCCGATTGAATTCCTTTCCCTCTGACTTGTATTTCTTTAAGTGATAGTATTTAAACTTAAGATTCCGTATTATTTCAGAATTATACCAAGTAGGGTATACATAACGACTTTGACGTTGGTCATGTTTTTTTAATGGAACAAAGCGATGACAACACTCGTACAATTTCACATAGAAACACTCGACCATTTTATCAATATTATCTTTCAGTGATAAGTCACTCCAGTTTATTTTAGCCAAAGCTGCATATAATGCTGGGAAATCCGCTTTGCGCCAATTCCAATTAGGACAATCACTTCGCCGTTGCTTTGCAGAGCAATTATAAGTTGATATTAACGGTCCAGTACAACGACGCAGTTTTGTAAAAAATACCAGTGCAGGATGATATTTATCAATCGGTACCAATGGCTCGTGGCTTACAGATACTCTCACCTGATCAGAAGCAAGATCACTCAGTATTAGATCTAATTTAGTACCGTACACATTTGGAACATCATTAAATTGGTCTAACTTACAAAATTCACGAAAAGAATCAAATTGTAGTTTAACATAATTTGAACATGAATTCAGATTAAAATCACCCATAACTAGAACATCAAGGTCAGAATGTGAACATATTACATTTTCAATACAAGCTAGTGTACTCAGATAATTTTCATCACTACAACTAGGCGGAATGTATACAACACAACATAACAACTTAATATTATTTAACCTAATCACAGCAAATAATAGTTCTTTATCTTGTGTTAACCCATCCACATTTGAGATAGTCCGAATAGAATAGCAATCACGGACGGCTAGCAACACTCCTCCCCATCCAACATCTCCGATTCTATCCTTGCGAACTACCACATAACCCGTGGGAAAAAGCTCACCGTCAGACACAGAAGTTGACAAAAATGTCTCTGTCAAGCCAATAATATCATATGCAGCTTGTACAACGTTCTTGCTAAATATAACTGTTTTTGAGCGTAGGCCACGTACGTTTTGATAATAACATTGAAGTGTCTTAAATTTACTGCAAGTTTTGCCTGGTTTCTTGTCTAGAACGAAAGTTATTCCGCCATGGTTTTACACATATGTCTTCAGCCCAATATTGTGGGTTCATTACAAGATCAGCTAGCTTAGTCGGTACTGCAAGCTTGAATGATGCATAATTTCCCCGTGGCTTAAGTGCCTCGACCGTACAGACGACATCGGCACCACATATCGATTTAAGATGAGTACTCACTTGTTCGACGGTCGTACCTTCTTTTACGTAATACAGGTGAATGTATTTTTTTCTCTCAGCAGCAGTCAGCGAAGTAGTTCCAGGAGCGGCAGTACCACGAAGCACTCCAAGCAAAGACGAACTCGCTGGCATCGAAGAATGTTTACGCTTCACTACAGTCCATTCATCCTTACTAGCTTCCTTTTCGCTCATGTTGTTTGCCATTGGTGTCACGCTTGCATTTGTCGGAAGTTCATTCAATTCGCAAGTTGCAGAAGTTACATTCATCTGCTGGGATATCGGGGCGTTCGTTGAAATATTTATTGTTTTTCCATTATCTTTTTTTCTTTCGATAGGTTTTAATTCGCTCTTTCCGGTGTTAGCATCAACCTTATTTGTTCTTTGAATGTCCATTATTTTACTCTCTAGACCATCAATTCTTCCTGTAAGACCATTTATTGACGTGACAACGTCTTAAATTAGGTTGCGGCTGGGAGTCACTTATGAAAAAGTGTAACGCTCGGTAACGTTACGATGAGTCTCTCGTGTTAAGTTTAAGTTTACATGTACAATGTTTTAGTAAACAAAATATATTTCTATAGTTAAAATTTGTGCAATTCTTATTTTCATTCAATTCCTTGTTCCTATTGTGCAATTTAATTATATTCATATCAATAAATATTCTACCGAGAAAAAGACGTTGTCACGTAAAATCTTCGCCCGTAAAACCGACTTTACAGGCAACCATTTTTTTTATCAAATAATTCGGCTTTGAAAGATAGGAATTGAACAGTAAACAATTTGCTAATTTCATCTATAACTTGACGAACCACCGCCTGCTGTGCCATTTCTGGCAAAGTATTCTTTTCAACCTTACTCGCTGATGGAGCGCAACGCGTCCCCGACCGCAAAGTGATATAATCTGGACTACTCATTGAAATATCAGGATTGTCACTAGCTATACTCATGTCTTGTATTTGGTGCTGTTGACGAACAGGAGTATGCGAATTATCACCTCTCGGATTTTGCTGCGACATTCCACACAAACCCAGGACTTTTTAAATTCTAATGAAAGAGATGCATATATATTTTCAGAGTAATTTGCACATAGTATGTCAAATATCTGCTTACATTTTATGCAAGTCATAAATTTTGCTCCATCTACTATGCTGTGACATCCCGCACAATACAGTAATTTTCCTGAAGCCATCTCAATCTATCTTAATTTAACCGAGAAAAATAGTCGTCAAAACTAGTAAAGCGTGACGGGCAAGTTGACTTGATCGTTTGAACGTAGCACTTACGGACAGGCAAGTTGACTAGAACGCTTGAACGTAGCACGAACGACGCAAAGATTCGCCGCTACGGCTTGCCGCGGGTAGATTGATTATTAATTATTTAATAAGAACAAATATCACAAACTGTTTGCTTAATATTTGTACTTTTTCTTTACTAACTTTAAGAGATAACAGCACTACTGAAAGATTGTAACTTGGGCTACACTTTTACTACAATTTTGCAGGACAATACACACTATTTTGACGAAGATTGGTAAAAATTTCGAGAGCACTAGTGTACACAGCTAAGCTTGACAGCGGTTTTGGGGATGTTTAACCGCTGCTCCCCACTAGCGGAACGGAGTAATTAAACGACGATAGGTCAACTTATCAGCACTATATTTGGAAAATATTCACAATTATAAAATACAATTTTGTACGGACGAAATTTTTATCTCTGAAGTCTATTTTTAGAATGACAATTAAAAATTCAACAGAAAATATCAAAAACAACATAATTATAAAACTTGATTTCAAATGTGCCCGTGCCTACGGAATGTCCATAGACACTGGCTGTATGGCGACATGGACCAACTTTTAAGCGGTGCAAAGTCGCCACACCACCCCCCTACAGAGTAAGGAAAAGCAAGGCAGAAGAAAACAAAGAAACAAAAATAAACTACTACTTAAGTAACAAAATCATCAAATTTCTTAAACCTAACGTGTCTTCCTGTCCGGGTTTTATAGGGGTTAGTGGAGGTGGAAGCATGTCCTGTGTCTGTAGCTTTCGGAGACGGTTGGACAGGAACTTGCTGCTGAAGTGCCGGTTGTGCGGCAGCACTAGGGTGTGAGTGACCCTTGTAGTCGTCGGATTCGGCGTCGATGTGAGCAGGCTTGACCCGGTCGATGCTGACGGTAGCTTCTCTCCCGTTGACAAGAATGGTAATAACTTTGTCCTTCTTCTCCAAAACACGATGTGGCCCAGAGTGCGGTGGTTGCAGAGATCTTCGGCAAGTATCGTCGCGCAAGAACACGTGAGTTGCCGTGGCCATGTCTTTAAAGATGAAAGACGCAGGCTTGGTGTGACGTGATGCGGAAGTTGGCCGAATGCTGTCCATCTCGAGTCTCAATTGGGACACAAAATCTGCAAAGTTTGCAGAGTTCGCTGGAGTTGGAGGAGGAACGAGAAATTCACCAGGGAGGTGAAGTGTCTCACCGTATACCAGTTCGGCAGACGAAGACTTGATGTCTTTTTTGAACGCCGTCCGCATGCCGAGCAAAACAAGTGGCAGAGCCCGGGTCCACGTTTCCGCATGGCACATCAGGGCTGCCTTCAGTTGCCGATGAACTCGCTCCACCATGCCATTAGTGCAGGGGTGGTAGCTAGTGGTGCGAACGCGTTTGGAGCCACAAAAGCGCATAAGCTCTTGGAACAAGGATGACTCAAATTGACGCCCCTGATCAGTGATGATGACACTAGGTACCCCGAATCGTGCAATCCACCCCAGCATCAATTTCTCGGCAACTTCTTCCGCCGTTATCGAAGAAATCGGCCAAGCCTCTGGCCAACGGGTGAAACGATCGATAGCCGTCAAGCAGTAGCTGAACCCGTTGGAGAATGGAAGAGGACCGATGATGTCGATGTGAATATGGCGGAAGCGACCGGATGGAAGGTCGAATTGACCCGGGGGTGACTTGTTGTGCCGTGACACCTTGTTTTTCTGGCACTGAATGCAGCGCCGTGCCCACTCGCGGCAATTTCTGTTTATATTTGGCCAAACGTAGCGCTTAGACACCAAACGAGCAGATGTTTGTGCCCCAGGGTGGCTCAAGTTGTGACAGCGGTCGAAGGCGGCCCGCCGAAACTGCGGTGTTAAATAAGGTTTCGGCCGACCTGTCGACGTGTCACAAAGCAAGGTGACGTCGGTACCAGGGATCGGAATCGGTTCCAATTTTAAATTCCACGCGTCTTTCGATTCTGCTAATTCCTCGTCAGATTACTGTGCCTGCGCAAGAGCTGTGTAGTCTTGCTCTAAGGATACAGCGTTAATGCGAGACATAGCATCTGCCACTACATTGTCCTCCCCTTTGATGTGTCTAATATCAGTCGTAAATTGACTGATAAATAACAGCTGGTTCAATTGGGGAGGGGGAAGTTTATCCCGGCGTTGTACGAAGGCGTACAGCAGTGGCTTGTGGTCAGTGTAAATGGTACAGTGTTCGACCTCTAAGATATGCCGAAAATGCTGTACGCTTTCATACACTGCCAAGAGTTCCCTATAATATGCAGGCCATTGCGACTGTCGAGGAGTCAGCTTTTTGCTGAAGAAGGCAAGAGGAGCCCACTCTCCGTCGGTCTTCTGCTGAAGGCAGGATCCAACATGGACACTAGAGGCGTTAGTGAAGAGGCCAAGCTCGGCACCACCCACAGGATGTTGAAGTAGAGTGGCGTCACTGAGGCTCCTTTTGCATTCTTCAAAGTGTTCCAGTAGCTCGGGTGTCCAAGGGAATGGTTTCGCACCTTTACTGTTTGTGGAGAGAATGGCGTCTATTAATGGAGCCTGATATTTAGCGGCGTGCGGAATAAAACGGTGATAAAAATTGATCATGCCGAGAAACCTCCGCATGCCTTGGACTGTTTGGGGTGGGGGGAAATTTAAAAGATCCTGTACACGGCTTGGTGGTGGGCGTACGCCTTCGGCATTCACGATATACCCAAGAAATTTAACCTCTTTGGCACCAAAAGTACACTTGGAGTTGTTGATAACCACACCATACTCCTTGAAGCGGCTGAAGAGGATCTTGAGGTGCTCCTTATGGCAGCTGCCATTAGGGGAAAAAACAAGCACATCATCGACATAAGGAAAGCAGAAATCCAGACCCCGCGTAACCTCATCGATGAACCTCTGAAAGGTTTGACCAGCATTTCTCAAACCAAAGGTCATAAACGGAAATTCGAAGAGGCCAAACGGGGTGGTGGTGGCTGTTTTGGCAATATCCTCTTTAGCAACTGGGATTTGATGGTAAGTTTTTACCAGATCCAAGGTGCTGAATATGGTTGCCCCACTGTGTCACAAGTCGTGAATGTGCCTCACCGGATACCGGTCTGGAATGGTCCTGGCATTTAGACTGCGATAGTCACCGCAGGGACGCCAGCTGTTGTCCTTCTTCAATGTCATATGAATAGGAGAAGACCACGGACTGTTAGAAGGTCTTGGTATACCCAAGCGAACCATGTCTTCGAACTCTTTCTTAGCGGACGCTAGTTTCTGCGGAGCGAGACGGCGGGGACGACAGGAGACTGGAGGACCGTCCGTGGTTTTAATATAATGGAGGGTGTTGTGCTTGACAACTCTCGGAAGACCAGGAGGTTTGGTAATTTCCAGGAAATCTTACAGCAGAATTTTGAACTCGTCGTCTTCCTAAAGTACAGCCTTAACACTGGGTTGTTCCGAAGTGACAACAGCTGGTACAGCCGATAAGCCGGTGGTGCCATCAACCAAGCGTTTGGATCGGCAATCGGGAAGCAGGTGGTAGTACGCCAGGAAGTCCGAACCGATGATGGCCGTGTTAACGTCGGTGACGATAAAAGTCCACACGAAGCTGCGGCGGAGACCAAGGTTGAACGAGAGGCTTACGGTACCGTAGGTCTTGAAGCCACTCCCGTTCGCGGCGCTGAGCTCGTAGTCGGTGGGTTTCCTCGGTCTAGTGAGCCAGCGGTAGGGGTAGCAGCATAAGTCGGACCCGGTGTCAATTAGAAACTGCCGCTTGGTATCTTTGTCCGTGATGAAGAGGCGGCGGCCAGAGCTGGAATCAATTGCACAATCAGTTGCCGCCGTTACTGATTGCTTTCCGCGTTTTCCGCCTTCCAGTTACAAGGGCTGTTGCACCGGACTGCCTTCGTACCAAACTTCATGTGGTACCAACAGGTCTGGC